ATCATGGAGCCACATTAACCCCTGGCAAAGTTTAATCACAATTTGTTGAAAACCTATTTCATGATCCTTAACAATTTCATAACCTGGACAGCTTGAATTGTATATACAAGATAAGGTCTTCATATCATAATTTTACAAATTAGAGAGAAAATTGTGCAACACAGCTGTGCAACACAATACTCAGGAGCAAATACTGATGTTACTATGACAATAATACTGGTACTAACAATTAGAGTAATAAAACAAGACAAATATTTGAAAAGCAAGACAAAGGTTCTGGAATAATAGCAGATACACCTTCATCTACAAATTTCAAAAGCATAAAAAAAGAAAAAAAAGGAAAAATCATGATGATTAATGGTTAAACGCAAAATAAATGTGCTAGCATCTAAGGTCATATAGCACTATAAGAAAGTATATTAAAGGAGGGGTGAAGGGTGATAGTTGCTATACGTCAACTATCTAGAGTAATCTTGAAAGGTTAACGATGGGCAAAGGATTTGCTGTGTGAATGGGCTATGGTGGGTCTAGGTAAGGGAATTACATAAGGGCTTCACGTGTTTATCCTTGAGGGAGTGGAAATGATAGAGGGAATGGAGGGAGGGAGAATGTACGTGTAGTTGGAGTTGAGGGGGGTGGGTTGTGTTGGGAGAAAGTAGGAGGAGGATGGGTGTCGGGAGGATGAATATCGGCAGTAATTGGAGTTGTGGGGGATGGATTGTGTTGAGGAGTAGGAGGGAGGGGAGTAGGAGGATGGATATCGTAGTATTAGGAGGAGGATGGATGGATATCGGGAAGATGGATATCGGTAGTAGGCGGAATTGATGGGGTTAGGTTGTGTTGAGAGGGAGTAGGAGGAAAGGGTGTAGGTGGAATATGAGCAGGAGGGAGATGGATATCGGCAGTCACTTCGAGTGTGGAGGGAGCACGAGTTGTGGAATTTTGTGTCTCCAGCATATAGCTTTGAATATCTTCCATAGTTTCTGCAGTGGAGTTCCTTGGAGAGTTTTGTGAGACAAAGGTTTTTCTTATGAGGAGGGGAAGAGGAGACTGGTGTCTGAGGAATAAAGGCAAAGGTAGGTGGAGGCGAGATGCGATAGGGAACGTTTAGTCTGTCTGCTGCGGGTATGCGGGGAGGAGAGGGGACGGTGTTGGGGCTGTAGTTGAGATAAGAAAGGGGTCATGTGTACGGAAAGTAATTTTGGCAATGTTGGTGGGTTTCTTTCGATGACCTCTAGGAGTAATGGAGTAGCACTGTACTGATATTACATCACAGTCTTTGAGGCAGCTGAATAAGTAACCTCCATAATCTGACCAATCGATATCCACAGGGCAGTTTGCTGGGGAGACAGAGACAGTTTCAGTACTAGTATTAAGGTTGGGTGAGGTTCTGCAGGAGTGGGATTGCCAGAGAAATCAGTTAGATTTGATAATGCTATAGTTTGTTTCAGATGAAACTGTTACGAGACGGGAACGATCGGGTCGGGTACAGGAGGGGACTCTGCCCATTTGCTCTTGTTGAAGAAGTGTTGCCTGAGTAAGGAGCTGTAGGAGGGATCACGAAAAATCGGTCCCATTTGGCTGGGCTAAATATAGTATTTACGATATTGGTACAGTTGTGTGTGGTAGAAGGACAGGAACGTGTGGAAGAGGGAGCATTGTTGAGGGGGGTAGTAATCCGGAGAGATGGAGAATAAGGCTGCCATGTAGTAATAAGGGAAGATGAGGTGATTAGTGAAAAAGGGTGTGGGGGTACAGTTGATGACCTGAACATGAGTCTAACATCCGGGGAGTCGACGTGGATAATGCACTAGTAGGCATTGAGGAGTGGGTAGTAGTTGTAGTGTTCAGAGTCGTTGTCAAAGGAGAGCCTGGGGTCGGGAAGCTGGAAGTTTGAATTGATGGGGCTATTTGATGAAGGGGCAATCCTCATTGCCTCTAATTTGGGTATTGCATCTTCATCACTGGCCATGGGAAGCCTTGGCTATGTTGGGGAAATAAACAGTCCACCCCTCAGGGTCCCCTTGAGGGGTAAGAGCTAAACAACAAAACGGGAATACCGTGCCCATGGTTCATGCAGGCCGTTCAGGACTGGAACAAAGTCGGCCTTTCATCCTTTCAGCACGGTTCTTACACCAAAGGAAGTACATAGTAGAAGGGGTTAGAGAAAGGACGGAAACGAAAGAGCTGGAGGGAGAAAAGACCATGCAAAATTGGTTGAGTCGAGGGCTGAGGACCTAGGCAGGGGAGATCTCTGCATTGGATTCTCAGTCTCCTCCTCCTAAGACCCCCCCCCACACGCCAACAAAACAACGGGCAAGGGATTGGGGGGGATCATGATACCTTATTTGTAGCTACCCAATATAATTAGATGATGTGTTGTCAGGCTTTTGTTATACACAAACCATCATTTATTTAGCATAAACTTGATAATTCTGAATAAGTTTTCTTGCATGCAGACATCTCAATTTCAGTTTGTTTTGGGGGTCATAAACAGACAAGTGACTGCAAATATCCAGTCTTAAACTACCACATACATTACTCATGATTATCTTTTCTATTTTTAGAAACTTGAGACATCCAACTTATATATAGTTTTTTTTTTTAACTGATATTAAAGTAATAATTTTTACTTGCATTACTACTTCACTTCATCTGTCTTGGAAATTACTTCTTAAGCCAAATTTGTATAAATGCATCTCATTTCATTGGGAATGCTATGAACACTGAATTCTTGTAGGAGATTATCCTAATACAAATAACTTGGGGAATTAATTTTCTGAAAACATAGCGAATGGGTGAGGTTGGGGGGGGGAGCCCCAGCATAAGTTTTTGTTTTGTTTTGTTCCGAAAACAATGTTTGTGGATACCCAGAATGGAAATAAATGTAACAGACATCAAAGGTCATACAGCACTATGATGAAGTATCGTGGCAAAAAGGTTACAAGCGAGTTCACAATTAGGGCAAAATATGTTAGATGTCAAAGGTTGTATAGAGCCCTGTAGGTTAGTATCGTAGTGGAGAAGGTAATGAGGGAAGAGCAAACAGAGTACAAAGGCTATTAAGGACTGACACAAAGCCAACATTTCATCCTTTCAGCACGGCTCTCACACCTTAGGAAGTAGACATTAGAAGGAATGAAGAAAAAGGTAAAGGGAAGGGGGAGAAGAAAAGACCATGTAAAATCAGTTGAGGCAAAGGCTGAGGTCCAAGGTACAGGTGACTCACTACAGACTCAGTCTGTCTCCTAAGTGTGCCCCCCCCACACACACACCAAAGGGATTTGGGGGGGGGGGACTAGGGAATGATGCACTGCAATCTTTAAATACGATATTCATTTGTCCACAAAGGCTACTGTTCCTGGTCCATTAACTTTTTTTTTGTATTTGTTCAAAGTTGTCCAGTTTATACATCAGTTTTCTGTAGTACTTGTCAATGTACCCTAATGACAGATTAGCAGTTGTATTGATAAAAAAATCTTTTCAACTCCAGAAAATAGTGGCTGTGCAAAATACTTACTTAAAAATATAAAATACTGTCAAGTGAGACTTTGCAACTTTCTTCTGAATAAACATCTAAAAAGATTTAACACCTTTCACTAGCTCAGTCCATAGATCCTAGTAAAGTGAGATTACTGCTCTTGTGTACAACCATTAATTCTCATCCTACATTATCCATATCAAATTAAATAGATTTTTTGGCAAATCCTTTCCTTAATCCAAACTGTAAAACCCCATTCACACAATTGAATACTGCCTGACAGACACACAATGCCTATTATGGCAAAATTGAGGCAAGCCAATGGAGTGTCTATGCCCATGGAGTGACCAGATAAGGCTACTTAATGCCGGATATTGATAAACAACCCTGCCTGATACAAACATCCTTGTATTGCACACAAGCTTCAACAATAAACAAGCAAAGTCTGCCAAGCACAATTCAATTGCGTGGACGCCCTAGGGCCTTAGATAGCTGGTCTGCATAGTGGCAGTCATAAAAAATAGCTTCGTATTAGAGGGGAAAATGTAATGGCAGCCTCAGCTACTAATGGTTAATTGTTACAAAACAAAATAAATGTGCTAATCAAAGCTCATATAAGCACTATAACCTCAGCTACTAAGTACATACTTTGTGAACTCGTGCATTTTTAAAAGTTAAACTACATTTCATTTTTCAAGCAGCAGTCAAGTGATTATTCAGTCAGCCAGACATAACAGATGGACCACCAGGGATTTGGGAAAAACAAGAATCTTGTATTAATTTTTGATACAACTTCAAAGACATTTTCACAATATTTAATACATGTTTACATGTAGCCTGTCAATATTTGTATATGAAAATCTCATCTTTTCCAATTAAAAGTTATTCATCTTGTGTTTCCTCACACTGCAGAAGCTTCATGTTTGGATTACAGTACCATTTGCTCATTCTCTAGACACTAAAGTCTCCCAAATTTGATGTAAATATTTTTTGAATACCTCTACATGTGGTAGAATTTTAATTCAGGAAATGGTCAAGCTTTGTCGGTTATAACCGATTCACTCTATAGTTTGTTTTGTGAAATGTGTTTACATCAACAGATCCACTAATGACTCAAATTAGAAGACTCGCTTTATTTCCCTTTTCTTGGTGTTTTCACGATTTTTTTTTTAATGCCATTAACATCAATGCTGTTACTGTTACTATTACTGATATTATAATTATTATAATATGCATAGTACTAACAAACAAAATCCATGTTTAATGTTTTAAGAAAACAGATTTGCTAGACATCAATGGTCATACGGCACTTTGGTAATGCATTGTGATAAAAGTTTTAACAATCATTTGACAATATAAAATCAAGGAAAAAGATAAATGGGCAAGATAGGTAGTATAATAATCAACATGTTGGTGACTATGTACTTGTGGAGTCATCTATGTGTAACCAAACTAAAACACACAGTGGGCAGTGAGTTAACAACTTCGCCAATCTCTTCTCAGGACAAGGAAAAACAAATAAATCTCTCATCTTTTATCAATCACACAGACACACATAATCATACAATGATTTTAAAGACTGGATAGAAAACATGGCAATGTCTTGAAGCTTTGATGTATCCAATTCCTTCAAAATTTACTTCTTGGCTTTCTTCTTTGGCTGTTAAAAAAGAAGAAAAGGACATCTCATTACAAATAACTACAGATATTTACTTTCCCAAAGAAATAATACAAAAATTGTAAATTTTATATAGAGGCTCCAGTCTAAGTACTTTTACTTGTGCTTAGGATACATAATACAAACAGGCTCATTATCAGAAGAATAAATGGACAGAGCTATCCCATTAAATCCCAAATACCAGCAACAAAAAGGGGTCAAAGATCTAAAATCATAATTTAAAAATTAAAGTCCAAATTCTAAAACAAGATACAAGGGTAAAAACCTTTTTTCTTCCTTTCTTGAGACATGCTATACAAGACCAAACACTGCTAAATTTACAAAATCGTCCACAGCAACAATTCTAACAAGGTAATGTGGAATAAAAAGTGTTACTTGCTAACCATTTAGGATCCAGTGGGACAGTATCCTACTTGCGCAGCCTCCCAGTTAGGCGACTATCCTTTATTCCTCTGGTAACAAAGTTTTGGGTCTATTACAATTTTTCCTCATGGGTCTAAGAACTTAAAAGTACCTTATTTCTAACTAAGGTCTTAAAATACTGCCTTAATAAAGAGGGGGCTGCCAACATACATAAATTTAAATTTCAACCATCTCCACTTTAACAAATGCACTTACTACATGTACTGCATGAGGAGCAACAAATCTATTGACTACATTCTAGATTCATTTACATTTTGGTATATGTACATAGACAACCCAATTGTCTTTTGGACTCTTAGCTAATAATTCTAATTTCTGAAAATTGTCTCTTCACATGTGTCCCCTATTCCATAAACCTTAAAAGCTTTCTATATTAAAACTATAATTACAGGCAATCTAACTCTCTACTGTTCAGTGTGATTAATTTCAATGCTACATTTATGAGGCTATTCTACATTTCCAAGCTTGTGTTCTCAAAAGTATGTTTTTGTCAACACAAACCTGTATAAAAGATGCCTGGTAGCAAAATACTAAATATAAATATCTCTGCATTAGAATGCATGAACAAGATTTTGAGCCAGAGTGATCTACCATAACCAGTAAAGAGTTAGAAATTACACAAGAAAACAGAGGGAGAGGGATTGAAAAATACAAAACAAAAGGCACTCCTCTACAAGAACTTAAACTAAAGCCCTGAAAACATTCCCAATCAAACAACTTCCAACACCAAGCAGTTACAAAAAAGAAAAAAAAAAAAAAAAGAAAAAAGGCCCCGCATGAATCAATAAGTCCAAGATGAACTTACTGGCAATTCTTCCACCTCCTCTTCAACTTCATCCTCCTCTTCGCCCTCCTCCTCAGCCAAGCTGTCATCCATATCATCCTCAATGATTGTCGTCTCTACTTGATGTGTCCCACTGAGGTGGATGGGCCCTGAGCCCTGTGTCAGACGGAAAATGGCTGGGGTGTCTTCTATTAGGACCTGCGAGGGTAAAAGAATAATGCATTTACACTTTACCTTGGTAAATTTTATGAGCTTTAGGCGGGTATATGTGTGACCTATGTATTATGCATAGAGAAATCTTCATTCTTACAAAAGTTGTATCAATCTAAATGAACATTCATTAAAAACAAACTTTCAAATAACTCTTTAAATGAAAGTGGCCATATCATCCATATTTCATCTTATACAATCAACAATTGTCAAAAAGGATCCTACCTGATTAGGTTAGCATGAACACAACTAAATACAAATTTCATAAAAGATGCAAACCTTTTAAAGATTATCAGGTAAACTGATAATCTATGGTCCTATCTATAAAAACAATTTGACAAAACTCTCATTATCAGGATATGATATTTTATATTTCTGTACCAATGCCTTACTCAATATTTTGTAATACAAAAGGTACATATGGTGCTGACAGTAGGTATGAACTTCTAAGAACCTTGGTATAATATGCAGTCGATTTACTGGTATTCCCTGGCTTCCAAAAATTCACTTCACTTTTCTGAAAAATCTATATTGGTACCAAATAAAATTATATATTCCTGTTTAGTTTTAGAACATTTAAAGTAAATGCCCATTATCATATTTGCAAACCATTTTCTGAAATTAAAAATTCACTTTACCAACATCTTACCCATATAGGGTTAGTTTTCAACTCTTCCTCGATAGCTTTGGGGATTAAAGGTTTTGAACTAATAAGGAGTTTGGCAAAGAAGGATAGGTTTATGAAAGTTGTTGAAAATAGTGCTCAAAATATTTCAGCATCACATGACCAAGAACTAAAAGATGAAGAGCCAATACAGTTGCAAAAACAAATAACATATCAATGCCAATCACAATAGTAAGCAGCCCAAAAGTAGTTATCCAGGAATTGTTTATCACTCACTAGTACATGATTTTATTCAACTGAGAGTTGCAATGATTGCAGAAGCATCTTTTCAACTCTGGATTTGCAATGTGCTTTGGGTGCCTCTATGAAGTATGCAGCAAAATTCCACAAGGCTACACCATCAAACCTCCTGTCCTTTTCAAGCCATCCACCTCAGCCACAGCAGACGTCCCTTGAGCATCAACATCAAGGCATGAACATACAGAAGCTGACAATGTAGGCATATAAGACATTTCATTCCTGGTTTTACAATGTAAGCATTACCTTGGACTGTATCAGTTATTTGGTCTGATTTGGTAATATACCTTTGGGCTCTACGATTACAAAAAAAAAATCCAACACAAATGAATACTAACTGTATCTTTACTTCATGCGGTTTCTGCATACTAAAGGCTTCAAGGAAATGCTTGACTGAGAAATCTGTACCTCATAAGCTAATATCTTTACTTCTGTACAAAGATTAAGTATGGCCACCATTAACCCTTTGTTCATGGTGGTTTTATGTTTTGTTTTCACAAATATGACTGTACAAGATCTTAGTCAACCATGGAGCCAATTATTAGCCATACCTCATCTAAACTATTTACTTAATTTTTTTTTTTTTTTTTTTTGCAGGGGGGGGGGGGGGGTTATTACACCTATTCCTATCATTCTCATAAATATAATTCCTAACATCCTTATGAATAATACAATTATGACATGTTGAACATTTCCTTAAAACAATATACTTGCTACAGGCATAGTCTTCAAAGCTAAAGTAACAAGAATGCAGTGTAAGAGTTAAGAATTCTCAGAAAAGCTTTTGAAGACAAAACAATATACTTGCTACAGGCATAGTCTTCAAAGCTAAAGTAACAAGAATGCAGTGTAAGAGTTAAGAATTCTCAGAAAAGCTTAACGGAAAAGAAGCATGAAGACAGAAGCAAAAATGAGGACTGAAGAAAGACAAAGAAAGACGAGAAAAGAGGAGGAAGGCATGAATGACATTCTAGTTGGAAGTACATTATACTTTTGTCTAGTTATGATTTACTCTATCATAAGAATTATTTATTTCTTTTGCTTTATATCTTCCTTTAATACCTAATGCTGACATCAGATCATCGCTACCAATTAATTTCACCTTTATTTGTCCCCAATTGCAGTATTTCTCAGTAGATGGACCTATATGGTGCTAGCAGTGGAGGGTTTGAAGTTCAAAGTCTGTCAAGACTGACTGACTGACAGACAACAATATCCCCAGAATTCATCCAGTATTGAGGACAGTCCACCATAAAACAAAAATGTACACTTCAACCTATGTATGGCATGTTAGACTATCAGGGGGGGGGGGAAATCCATCCATCCATCTCTCTTTTGGAAGAATTTTTAAATCCTGTTCTACCAACATTCTACATTCCAAACTCAATCACCGCTGAGGAAGGAAAGCTAAATCTCTTACAAGTCTAATTCATTTCTATATGATGACAACAGTTGGTTCCTCAACTAACAACTTCCAGCCCATCATACATAACAGGTGAAGCCATACCCACTGGACTATCTGAAGTAATTCTTAACATATTGAAAAATTATGTTTAAATCAAAATTTACTATGAAAATTGAGCTTCTCATAAAAATTTTACTTACATCAACACCTGTGACATATGATCCTCCAGCCTTTGTGACGCACACAGGGATTTTGTGTTTCTGGTCCTTGTAACCTTTGACCTCAAGCTCAACCACATTGACCTCCCCTTCCTTGGCCTCTGGACCTAAGACGACCTGTTAGACAGAGGGACTAAGTCACTGAAGATGAAACAAGTTACATTAATGTGAACTTTTTAACTTCTCTTTACATGGATTTCCATATAAAGTTAGTCAAGGTTTAATATTAATAAAATCATAATTCCTTCATAAAACTTAACACTGCTGAATAAAGTCTGAACAATTAGCTGTGTAATATCCAACAGTAAATTTAATGATGCTTAGGCCCAATGCAATTTTTACATTAGATCATTTATGGCTTTTATTTATGTTACAAATACTAGTAACATTAACATTTATAATGGATAATAAAAAATAAAAATCCACATTTAGAGTCTTTACTCTGAATTTTATGTTTTCCGATGAGTATTGACTTCTTGAAAATTTATTTCCTCTTTACAAAGATCTTTAACTAAAATATCTATGATTTAGAGAGTACTATAAAGCTATAAATATAAAGAAGCAAACAATAGTCAACTTCATAATGAATCATGGCAGGGAAAGTTTACAAAAGTTGTAAGTTCCCTCAAACACTAAACTATTTACATACCTGACTAACTATACATACTTTTTTCAGTTCCCAGCTCAAGATCTTCATTCAAAGAGGACAATTATAAGTTTCACTTGCAAATAGCAGTTAGGAAAACAAAACATTTCCAAAATTGAATTCTGCACAAAACAGTCCTGCAATTCTTACCTGTCTGATTGACAGTGTATGTGTGGTAGTTGTGGCTTCAAGGTTATTTAGTACACACTGGCCTTCCCAGGTCTTTTCTTTTGTAGACCCATCAAGGGTAAGTCCTGAAGGAACCAAGAGATATTTTAATGATCTGTTGAACATAACACTGTTTCACAATATGATTGAGTTTACTTATGATACAGAGTCAAATACATCTGAAATTTTGAAAAGAAAATTAATGCAACCCAAGATAATGCTTTCCAAAGTGACCAAGTCCCAATTACTCCAGACAACAACCTTAGGGGCACTCCTTGTAATCCACAACTTTGTAATATGAACCATAAACCTTCCTCACCCTTGGGTTATGCCCCGAGACTCCTGCCTAATCAGCATATTTCCCTAACTTGGGGATCAGACCACCACCGAATTGCCATGGACAATCTCCACACCCAGCATTTTATCCCGACCTATTTTTTTCATTACTGACACTATTCTTTGCCTGTACAGATTATTGCATGTGTCATTAAGTAGTTCTCGCCCCTATTTATGATAGTCTTTTAATGGCAATTCTTTTCAGTTTGGTTTACTCCCAACTCCAAATCATAAAATCTATTCAACAATCTTGCTGTGAATGGGGACACTGCCCATCCACGGGGAGGGTTGATGAGGACCCCCCACCCCCACCCAGCATCCCCAGAAACATTGTCTTCACCTCGGTTTGAACAGCCAGCAAAATTGAGCTGGATATTTGTTACTAAAAGTGACCCACCTTTCGTGTCTGCAGATAATTTCTTGTACTGACAGCTGCAACTTTTAGTTCTCTACAAGAATCTCAACTTCCAGAGCCAAAGTCCCAAAATAAGGGTATTATGCTAACAAATCCAAACCTAAACCTTCCTATCTTCTATTGATTCCCTAGACAGAGGGTACCCCTCTATTTCTTTGCACTTTGTGCCACTAAACACTTTGGCTGTGTGAGGGAGCTGATATGCAGTGAATATTTTTGGCATTTCACAGACAATATGCGGCTGCAACAGCTGTACCTGTGACTTTCTTACGCTAAGATAGCAGTGTCCATTTCCCCTCTATCTTTCTGCATCACTTGGTAACATTAATCTAGAACTGATGGTCGGGAACACATAGTGTACTTAGACTGTGAGCGGTAGCTTCCATGACCTTTTTCCTTTATCTGTGGCATTACCTCGGTTTGAACAGCCAGCAAAATTGAGCTGGATATTTGTTACTAAAAGTGACCCACCTTTCGTGTCTGCAGATAATTTCTTGTACTGACAGCTGCAACTTTTAGTTCTCTACAAGAATCTCACCTTCAATTTGCCCTATCTTGGTGCATCCATACAGTAAATATTAAGCCTTTTAGATCTTCCCAACAGAAATTAAGGCCTATTATAAATATCCTTTCAAAGATCAAAACAAAAAATTAGCTACTTATTGAATTATGCAACCACAACATTCAGGATAAACATCAATACTAAATGAAAAACAAAAACAGTAAAATGTACACAAAAATAAAAGGAAACCGTTACACAATATGACAGGAAAAATACACATTTCAAAATCATTGAGAGGTGGGAGAAGAGCTAAAGAGCGAGAGGGCGTGAGATGTACAATAAGCGTTTTCCATTTCATGTTATTAGCTTCCTTTGAAGAACATTTGAAACTTTTATCTTTATCTTTATCATTTTATCAAAATTCATATTGTGACTGAATTGCCCTTTCATAACCTTTAAATACCTTACCGGAAATTCCATTCTTTCAAAGGCCAACAAAGCTCCATGTATTCTGGTATGATAGGAGCTTGGATCGACTACTCCTCTGACAATGACTTCCTAGCAAGGCTCCAAGAAATCTTATAAGAATATACTTAGAGGTTTATCGGTGTATTTACGCAGAAGCCAAAGGAATCATTATAGAGGGTTGTAGCAAAACCACAACCTTATAGAGCATAAAAAAGTGAGTAAATACAACATAGTTTAAGCTGCATCAGCCTCACCGTTAACGGTAAATAAAAAAATGTTTACTGCATATCACAGCTTAGAGACTAAGTACACAATGCCCTCACACAGCCAGAGGTCATAATGTTGCATATTCTATAAGTTCACAGGATGTGCTAACAATGGAGGGGGGAAACAGAGGTTGTGCCCCCGGTGTATGGAATAAATAATATGGGAAAGGTTTGGTTTGGGTTTTTGGGTTCGCATGATACCCTGGTGCGTCACTCTCAGTAACAAATACCAAATTAGAGAACTATGCCTTTAAAAATCAAGAGATTGAATAGGTCAAAATATTCTGGAATAACCTTGATAATGGCTTCAGGAAATTCCAAATTCCATGCAAACAATTCCCCTAAATTGGAATTTCCTAAATACATTTCTTCCTATTTACTTCAAAAATTCCTCTTCATCACTAGCAAATATCTATCACTTTGCAATACAAGGATTTTGTTAAACAAGTAAACCTACACATCAGAACATGTGAAACAAAGGACAGAAATGAAATGGGCATGAAAAACAAACAGGAAACGGGGAGAAAAATATAAAGGAAATTATGAATTCTGGGAATACAATACAAGAGGAAAATAGAACTTGCAAAACCAGATCACCTTTGTCTTAGTAATTCTATATTTACTTTTCCTTTTCCCTCTTTCTCTCCCATCCTTTTCCTCCTACCCCCTTTTCTCCCTTACCCTTCTACCCTGTATCATGGTGATCAACAACTAATTCTTAAAACTGCATTGTTTAATCGGATCTGAATTCCTTCCGGCTCTA